ATGGGTCCTAACATAAGATCATAACAAAATTTGCCAGTACAAAAACATATTTGTGTATAGTCCCTACTTTTCACATAAAAGCACTCTGTAAAATTCAGTCTTTATTATTATTATCCTTATTAACTGGCTTACATTTACTATAGCCAAGGAATCAGCACTTAGTAGTGTTAATTAATTATAATTAAGTAGAGCACCTAGCAACTTCTATAAACCATCCCAAAGGCGAAAGTTGCACTTGGAATCTTGTCACAGACCCCTCCTGCTGGAGGCGGTACTCCACACACAGAATGGCAGAGCCAGGGCCCTAGAGTGGCACAGGGACTTGGTCAAGGTCCTCTATCATATTCGTAGCAGAGCCATTTATGGCAAAGCTGATATGGCTACCATGCCACACCTCAGTGCCCCACGATACACTGGATTTACATTGTCTGATGGGAGGCAAGGAACAGCCCTATGGAGTAGGCACTCCTACTAACCCCACTTTTATTTATTTATTTACTTACTTACTTATTTATGTATTTTTAATATATCTTTATTGATTTCAGAGATGAAGGGAGAGAGAGAAAGAGAGAGAGAGAAACATCAATGATGAGAGAGAATCATTGATTGGCTGCCTCCTGCACATCCCACACTGGGATCAAGCCCACTACCTGGGCATGTGTCCTGACCAGGAATCAAACCACAACCTTGTGGTTCATAGGTTAACACTCAACCACTGAGCCATACCGGCCAGGCTAGCCCCACTTTTTAAATAAGTCAAATGGCTTAAAGAAGTTACTAACTTGCCCAAGGTCACACAGCAGGTCAGGGGTTAGAACCATGGTTCCAAGCAGGCCTGTGTGACCAGACCTTGACCTAAAGGGGGAAATGAAGTCACAAACGGGCAGACAGAAGTACAATCTGAGCAGGGAATGGCACAGTACTCAGCCACAGGGAGGGTGGGAGCAATTACAGGGTGGTGAACATTCGCCCCAGGCTTGTCATTGTTACTCTTGATACAGAAGTAAAATTCCCCTTGGCCCAGAGTTGCCTCTCTTCCTCTTCCTGCCTCTTCCTGCCTCCCAGAGTCACTGCCTTGAGAGTTGCTGCAAATATCTGTGCTATTCAGATAATACTGCACACCAGATGCTGATGAAGAAGAAGGTATTCTCCACAGGTAAGAAGGGAGAGTTGGTCAAAACAGTGGGAGTATCAGATGATCTCTAGGTGGCCCTCCACAGCCTGGGGCTTTGGAGACCAGCAATCCTGTTCCAGGCCACAAGCTGCCATTTATTATCTAATGACCATGGACAAATCACCTCATTTTTCTAAACCAAAGATTAACATCTGTCCAGAAGGCCGTGTGATGATTAAAATAGGGCAGTGCGGGCAAGGTGACCTCATCATTGTTAATATTATCACTGCACTATTCCTCCCTATCCATGCCCCTCCCTTGGCTCTCCACCACCTAGTACCTTCAAAGTTCTCAGGAAATATTTGAATGAGTAAACATAATAAAAAATAGTTAAACGGGTCATCTGCCAAAGATCAAAGCTCAAGACATTTGAAACATGACAGCAGTGGCTAAACAACTAAAGTGTTAACTAGACTATCTCTTTCTTATCCTACCAATGTCTTATATCTAGCTAAGAAATTCTCCAAGACTAAAGGGAAGGACACCTCTCTCTCCCAGACAGTAACTTTATTTAATTTGAATAAGGCTTCTGAACACATACAATAGCCCAAATGTTCTCTAGTTAATCATAGTAGGTATTGATTTGGGCTTTATCGTCATTGTTTTCTTTTGTGCTCACAACATCCATTTGAAGTAGATATCGTTACTATAGCTCAATTATATTAAGACATATTATATATTAATTATACTATTTTTAAAATACAACTTAGATGGAGGGAGTTAAATGAATCCAGTGACACAAGCCACACAGTACAGAAGAGGAAATACATTTTTTTCAAGCAAGTGCATAATTTCTCCCAAGGTTAATTGTAGGCAGAGCCCGTATTAGAGAAACCCAGGGAGTTTGACTGCCAAGCCTTAACACTATTTGATGCTGTGTGCCTAGGTCAGACACTCCACGTTCAGTTTGGTCAACAATTAGGCTCCTCTAATCCTGCCTTACCTATTAAGAAATAAGTTACATGAGGATAGAAACTATGCGTCACCAGAAATTGACCCAAGCCACTATGCTCAATTAATATTTGACAAAGGAGGCAAGGGCATACAATGGAGTCAAGTCTCTTCAAGAAATGGTGTTGGGGAAATTGGACAGATACATGTAAAAAAATGAAACTAGACATACCTTACACAAAATAAACTCAAAATGGATAAAAGACTTAAATGTAAGACAGGAAACCATAAAAAAAATTAGAAGAATCCATGGGCGGCAAAATATTAGACATCCCTCTTAGCAACATGTTTACCAATACATCTCCTTGGACAATGGAAAGTAAGGAGAAAATAAACAAATGGGACGCCACAAAATAAAAAGCTTCTACACAGCAAAAGAAACCACCAACAAAGTAACAAGAGAGCCCACTGCATGGGAGAACTTATTTGCCAATGATATATCCAATAAGGGGTTAATCTCCAACATTTATAGGGAACTCATACAACTTAACAAAAGACAAACAATCAAATTAAAAAATGGGCAAAGGACCTAGACACTTCTCCAAAGTGGATATACAGACAGCTAACAGACAAATGAAAAAATGCTCAAAGTCATTGATCATCAGAGGGATGCAAATTACAACCATGAGGTGTCACCTCACACCTGTCAGAATGGCTACAACAAATCAACAAATGACAAGTGCTTGTGAGGATGTGAAAGGGGACCCTAGTACACTGCAGACTGGTGCAGCCACTATGGAAAACAGTATGGGGTTTCCTCAAAAATTTAAATATGGAACTGCCATTTGTCCCAGTGATCCCACTTCTAGGAATATATCCTAAGAAACCCGAAACACCAATCAGAAAGAATGTATGCACCCCAATGTTCATAGTAGCACAATTTACAAGAGCTAAGATCTGGAAACAGTCTAAGTGCCCATTAGTAGATGAGTGGATAAGAAAGCTGTGGTATATTTATACCATGGAATACTATGGAGCAGTAAAAAAGTACATCTAACCCTTTGAGACAGCATGAAGGGACCTGGAGAGTATCATGCTAAGTGAAATAAGTCAGACAGAGAAAGACAAGTATCACATGATCTCACTCATATGTAGAATCTAATTAACAAAATAACTGATGAACAGATAGGAGCCAGAGAAATGGAAGCATAGAACACAGTGCAGAATCTGAGGGAAGGTGGGGGAGCATGGGTGGGTGGGAGGTAATCAACCAAAGATCTTGTATGTATATATATGTATAACCCATGGATATGGACAATTAAGTAGTGAAAGCCTGGGGCAGGAGGGTGGGGGTAGACTGCATGGGATTAATGAGGGGAAAAGGAAGCCATATATAATAATTTCAATAAAGATTAAAATAATAAAAGAAATGAAACCACGGTTCAGGTTTTCTTTGTATGTTAGACAATAGGAATTTGGGAGCCTCCCAGTTAAGTGCCTCATCAATGTTAGTTATGCCCCATTCTCCTCCACCATTTGCACCTTCAAGAATTTTTTATCTAAGTTCTCCAACAGTACTCCAACTAAACGTATACACATCTACTTTATTTGAATCCTACCAACCACAAGCTTTTACAGAGCCACCTTTTATCATACTCTGTCCTCTATGTAGGAGTGAAATTGATTTCCCCTTTGAAACAAGCTCAGCAGTACAAACTATCTCTGGAGGTTTCCATTTGTTTAACTTCTATATGTTCTAATACCCAGGCGACGGCTCACCATCCTTTAACCCTTCATAAATACTTAGCACCCTGCTGTGATTGCAAATGGACACTAATCATTCTTGCATCTACTCTGCAGATAAAATTGCTGTATTTGTTCAATCAGCAGTTTTGCTAAATTCAGTAAAAGGAAATAAAAGCCCTTCTGCACATATTTTGAGACTGTACATTTTGAGCTCTTTTTAAATGCTTTCAAACATGTCATTTTCCTACATTAACCAAGCTCAGTCCACTTAGGAGAAATGGGAACAGCAGCTTCTACCAAAATTGCACCCAAATCACCCAAGAATACACATTCCAGTAGGCTTCCCTCCCCCTACTTCCTTGTGCCATGAGTACCATTTCAAACCAAGGACTCCCACTCTAGGGAAAAAGGGTCTCACTGCTACCTGAGCTCTTTACAGCCTTCAGCAATCAACTTTCTTCCTATTCAAAAGTTTCGCACGAGTCTTTTGATAAAACTCAAGACTTTAGGACCTCATAGGATTGTGGGAGCATTTCCAGGTGTCGGTGTAGAGTGCTGGTGGCCTCCCCCACACCAGTCCCAGATGCCACATCTGCTCCTTCACCAACTCCTGGCAAATGCACCCCTTCCTTATCATGCCAACAGTGCCACATGATCACACTTGCCCATCTTCTGTAATGAAATTACTCGCTGAGCCCATTCTCTGTCTGGGACTCTGAAACTACCTACCTATGATGCAACATGGGTTACTGACCGTAGTCCCTCAGCTCCCCAGTGTAGATTCCAAAATGTGTGTGGTTTCCAGTAACGTTTGCATTAATTCTGAAAATCAATGTATATTGGAAATTTATGTCCATGAGACATTTTTCATGAACACCAATAGCCTAGAAACAATGGGTCATTAATTCTCACACTGTAAATGCAATGAGGGTTTTCAGTCACTAAATTAATCCATCCAATTGTCTGCTGAGCACTGGAAAAGATGATACACACTAATATTCTCAGAAAAACTGCAGTTAAGCTGAGGAACCTGGATATGGACCAAAAATGTGAGGGAAAAAAGGTATACAAGTGGGAAACATATATATAAATTCAGTTAACTCTAATAGATGGTTTATTGGAAACCCTCAAAGCATCTTTCAAAAGAACCTGACAGGTTTTATTTTAATAAGACATACTAAAGAGGAAATGGTTTAAAAGATGTTATCAATCTTTTATTTAACTAAGCATTGCCCTTCATTTTGAAGGAAATGATACAATTTCAAATTAGAACTTCCTTCTCAAGAAGTGGTATGAGAACATAACATAGAGTTAACATACAACCTTCAACAAAATTAAAGTTTACACAGTTCACTGAGAAATAAAACACATGTGGAAATTATCGTGTTCATCAGTGGAATTCTCCATGGATTACAAGTATATTGAAGAACAAAACAACACAATGAGAAGTTTAGTTACCCTGATTTTTAAAAATCATAAATAAAATATAACTTTTCAGACTAATCCATTCAATGACCATGATCATACTGGATTTTATTTCAATTTATTGGTATAAAAAATGGTTAGACAATCACATAATATCAAGAGTCTTCAACACAGTGGATTCCATTTTGTTAAGAAAAAAATAGAAAACAAGTAATCCTTAAATTTTCTTCACTCTCCATAGCATATGTCGTATAAAATTAAAGTTTTGCTTCCAAAAATATGTTTCCATGTGGTTGCTGTGTTGTCTAGTGGTGCTATTAGGGTCAGAAGCACCAACGACATGAGACGTTTAACCACTGAAGGATCTTTTTTCATAAAATTTCCTTACAGGTCTGGAGGAAAATCTTCTGCTAGGCATTTTAGTGCTATAGTTACTTTAAATTAAATGTGAAATAAAAGCTACAAAAAGTTGAGTTCTTGCAGTACAAAAAGTTGTGTGGCTGAAGTTGTGGGCTCCTCGGACATACATAAGCAGTCCCATAAAATAGCTGCTCAAGTAAGAAAATAGAATTTGTCTGATTACACTTGGCATACGCTCCACTCGGATGTCCTGCTCATCCCTGCCAGAGCCTCTGAAAAACCTTAGAATCAGTATTTCTTTCCTTCAAACAGCATCTGTAATTCGAAATACAAAATAGTTCCAAAGTCTTAATCCTAAGGAGAAACAAAAATTATTGAATATATATATATAGATATAGATATAGATATATATGTTTTGTTTTAGGTGCCAGATGTAGCCACTGCCTAGGATTAAAAACTCACCCACAACACTGCCATGCTGAAGAAGAGCCGAGAGCTGGTTCCCTTCTCCTTTCTTGGCACCTTCGCTGGTTGGTTGCTGCCCTACCTGAAGCTGTGTAAGCCTACAAACACTTCCGAAGGCATCACAGTTCCTAAGTATGACGTATTTCACATCTCTGGTACCCTGTACAAAATGCTTGCTTGACATGGGGAAGCAGCAAGTGGCGTCGATCTATTTCCTCCTGTTATCAAAAACCTGTTTGCTAGAGGCAGAATGTGATCACTGGTGTAGGTCTTACAGTTCTTCATCACGCTGAAACTTCTCACCAAAAGCAGTTTGTTTGCAACAACAGATAGTCGCTGCTATGCCTCAATGGGACCAATGACATTCACTTTCCATTTGAGGGCAAAAGAGGGAGACGGAGATGGGGGAGTGGAAAAGAGAGTGTTGCCTGTTCCTCCTTTCTGCTGCCTGCACGTTAGTCATTCCTTCCAACTATCACTGCTGTGCCAAACATAAAAGAAAATCCAAATCTGTTAGGTAGAGTAGCTCTCCTCGATGCCTGTGCCCCTGTTTCTCTTGCTCCGCTTTTCCATGAGCAAGACAACATACACACTAAGTGGTGAGACTTACTAAACATGGAAACTAGACTGACATTCCCAACAGGAGACACATGGGTCTCCAAAGATGCAGACTGGGGTCGAGTGTGGCTCAGCTTTAACAATGTGATAGGACCTGTCTGGAGATCCCTGCAAAAGCAGGGAACATGGCTAATGCCCTTGTAGTTAAATGACGTCATGTGGAAGTGCTATGAAGCCTTAAAAATTATGGCTTCAAATGCCAAGTCTGAAAAAGTAAACAAGGCTATCCTTCAAGTCTTGTTGCCTTGATTTAGAGATCTCCAGGCAGGAGGCCCAAGGATGACCACACTGTAGAGACTCAAATATGATTCTACTCCAACCGTGAGAATTAGGTCGCGAAATGACATGTTCACTGTAATCTCTAATGACTTCCAACAGGAAGAAAAACTTTACTCAACTTTTGAGACAGTGTTAGCAATGTCATTGTGCGGCAGAGCTGCATTCTGAAGTGCAGGGCACACATCATTAAAGAGCTCACATGAATACAAGGAACAGGTTGTAAAAAATGTTTAAAGCCTCATAATAAAGCAAACTATAGCTCAGCAGGAGATCCAACTGGTATTAGCCAGCCTGCTGCCAAGAGATCCCACAATTAGGAACCAGTGCTTTAGGAGTGTCGCCAGATTTGGCACTGACCTCACCGCCTGGCATTTGTGACTGCCCTCAGCTATCTGGGGAAAGCATTCTGAAGGGTGTCCTCCAAGCACCAAGGAGACTGCTTCCATATAACAAGACTCTGCACATCTTTTGAATTAAGTGTGCATCAAGTGTCGCTACCAAAATAAATACCTTAGCATTGAAGTAGGCCTCAGGCCTAAGATTTTAACAGCAGAAGAACAAAAATGAGAAGGGAAAATGAAAATTCACAGGACCACCATGAAAGCCTTACGTTTTAAAAAGGTTACCTTCATTGTTCAGGAATGGGGTTCAGTGGGAGTGATTGACTAATTCCTACCAGGACAAACCTGTTTGGCTGCTTCTGTAGTGGATACTTTATGGGGTGGCACCAGCCAATCCCATGTGCGACCTGCGGATGAACACAGCCGAGCAGGTTTAATTAGATCAGAGACACAAAAGGCTATTCCCTCCTTTGATAACAAATAACACAGCTGTAAATGCCTACCATAGCAGGCTAGAAACAAAGGCGGCCACACAGAACCATAATTGAATCCTTCCCCTAGCTGGCCCATGACAATGATTTACTTATAACCTGGGAAGTGGCTGGTGGAGCAGGAGGGGGTAGGAGGCTCAGCCAGCTCCAGAAGATGAATTACTTGGGGACCGGGAGGAGGGAGGTAGCAAACTCTTTGTTTTGTAGCCCAAGTTTACTGGACATTTTGTTCCACTTCACAGGCAGCTGCTCGGTTTGCGTCTGTTGCTCCCAGACCTGGTCCTGGTTTCTCCAGGCTTGCCTCCCAGGAGGCCCAGAAAAGAAATCACTCAGCCTGCTGGACCCCACACACAGCTCCACAGGGATAGAGGGTATGGGGCAGTCTTCAGGCCCCAACCCCACTCTGGCCTTAGCACAGAGTAGGGGTAAGCCGGTAGGAGGCAATGGCAGGCCTTGGTACTCCGAATTTTTCTCCACCCCTGTGTGCGTAAAAAGGGTCGATTTTGGACCCAGGTCCAGCAGGGACTTAGTGCCAGGCATGTCCACAATTTGCCCCACCTCAGAAAGACTACAGATTGCAAGGGTGGGCAGGCCGTGCCCCCAACCAAAGTTTTCTTCCTACCTGCACCCTCTTCCTCCTCTGTCAACATAAAAAGCTCAAGCCACAGCTGGCTGCGCCTTTCGCCAACTCTTTTATTTTCCAAATGGCCCAGGAGCCCAGATGCGGCCCAGAAGGTGATGGTAGAGGAATGGAGAGAGGGGGCAGCGGCTGCTGGCAACAGCTTCCTCTCACAGATCTGCATGCAGCTGGCCCATCAGTGCACCACCGCCTCTCGGTCCTCCTCCTCCCAGCAGGGCTCAGGGGGGCGCTCGAGAGGCGGCTTAGTCCGCGCAGCGTCGCTGTCGCCCTCTTCTGGCTCGGTCGGGTGCAGGTGCATGGCCAGCTCCTGCAGCACAGCCGCCCGCCCGATCTGGTCGTTGCGCCGCTTCTCCATGATCAGGTCCTCCAGGCTCTGGAACTCGAGCGTGTGGCTGCGCTGGGCAGAGAGCTGGATCTGCAGCCGGTAGGGCTGCTTGCCGATGCGCAGCTCGCCGCCGATCTTGAACTCGCGCTTGCCGTAGCGGCACCAGGCGGCGAAGCTCTCCGAGTTGCGCCAGCTCAGCTCGCGCTCCTTGGCGCCCACGTGGGCCAGCGCGTTGCGCACCACGGCGGCGGGGCTGAGCGGCTTGTAGCGGTACAGATCGTTCACCACGCGGCCGCGCCGGCCCTGGCTCGCGTCGGTCAGGAAGCTGTTGCTCACCTCCAGCCGGTGCAGATGCACCACCTGGAAGTTCCCCACATACACCGCCCAGTGCGGGTACTGCGCCTGGGCCACGAACTCCACCAGGTCGCCGGGCTTGCACTTGTTGAGCAGGTTCTCGGGCGTGTAGGTGCTCAGCGCGGCGGAGCCCGGCGCGAAGCTCTTCTGGTAGATGCACTCCTCGCGGTAGAACACGGAGCACTCCACCTCGTGCAGCCGAGGGTCGTAGGGCTGCGGCGGGGGCGGCGGCGGCCCGCCATCCTCCCCTTGGGGCAAGCCCCCGCCATCCGGGCCCGGGGGCGGCGGCTGCGACTCCGCTTCCTCGTCATCGTTGGAAAAGATGTAGGAGACCCCGATGCGAGGCCCGTCGTCCCGGTCCACGCCGGTCGGGTCGGCTGTGGGAACTTCCTTATAACTTAGGTGGGTCAGTTTCTCCACCTGGTTGCCCATCACGCTGCGGACACACGCTCACCTCACGCCGCCGAGAGGGGAGAAAGCGAAACCACCACTGGGGTCATTGGCACCGGTCCCCGGACAGGGGCTGGGACCACCTGTTGGGAGAGGAAGGCAAGGAAGCCGTATAGGAGCCCCTCGGGGTAGAGGGCGGTTTGCTAAGGGGCGGGAGGGAGGTTCGGATCGCGCACCGGGAGCCATTCTACGGCGGTGGCGAGCCTTCCCTCATCCCTCCACCTGTCGGGCCGCGGCTTCAGGAAGCCAGGCAACTCCAGCTCCACCCCCGCCCCCGGCCCGTCACCGCGCTCGGGCAAAAGTCCACCGTCTCAGCCGCTCCTACCGCTTCCGCCAGCGCCCGACCTGCCAAGGCCGGGCAGGAGGGGCGAGGAAGAGAAACTTTACTCCAGTCCCCCCTTTCACACGCCGCTGGCACCCGGGGCCCTAACTAACCCAGAGAGGACCCTCACTCCCCGCGCCTCCTTCCCCCGGGGAAGCAGCGAGGATGGGGTAGCGGGGTCCGGGCAGGTGAGACACGCCCCGGCTCCCCGGTGACGCTCTCCCCCCCTCCGTCCCCCCCGCGCGTGCCCTTCGCTCGGGTTACCTGCGCAAACTCACCGCCGAGAGGTGGAGTCCGTGGGGATCGGGGTGGGGGCCGGCGCACCCGGAGACTTCTAGGGCGAGTTTGCAGGTGTGGGCTCCCCGGTCCCTCCTCTCCGGGCGCGGGCGGCGGCGAAGCTGGGCAGCGGGCAGCGACGCATGTCTCGCCCCCTCGGCTACTTGGCGCCTCGGGACTGGAAGGCGGGGGGCGATGCCCGTCCGCCCCGCACCTCTGGCCTCCTGCGGGGGTGGCCGTTCCCCCTCCACCGGCTCTCGGGGGAGGTGTGGCGCGAGAAGGAGGAGAAAGAAGCCGCTCGGCTCCCCCGCCCGGCGGTGGCGGCTCCCGCTCGGGCCCGGCGAGCAACAAGCTCCGGAGCGGGAGGGACGGGATTGTAGATCCGGCTCCGGGCTCCCCGGGCGGGAGCGCAGCCCCTGGCATTTAAAGAGACAGGCGCTCGCTCCCGGAACCCGGGCTTTCCCACCCGGTGCAGAGCCTCCGGGATCCCCCGCCCCGTCCGGCCCACGGAGGCCGCGGGCTCCGCCCAGGCCACGCCCCCGCGCCGGGGCCGGTTTAAGTCCCGCTGGTAACTCCCCGCCGCGCCGGCGGGACGGGCGCCCCGAGCGCAGGTGCCTTCGCCGGCCGCTGGCCGGCCCCGCTTGCCCGCCCAGAGCCGGGGCCCGCGGTGGGCCCCTCGCTGCCGGCTCAGTTCGCATTCTTCCGAGCTGCAGGCTTTGAAAAACAGTGAAAGGCGAACGCCCCCTGCCAGTGCAGAGACGAGAGAGAGAGAGAGAGAGAGAGAGAGAGAGAGAGAGAGAGAGAGAGAGAGAGAGAGAGAACAAGAGTTCGCTGTTTTCTTTCCCGTGGCCTTTTTGCCTGAGCACCTGGAGAAGGAGAGACAGGCATTAGGAAGCAAACGGGTATTTTCTTCCCTAGGACGTATTTCTGCCAATGTTCACAGCAACGATTTTTTTTTTTTTTTTTTTTTTAGTGGAACAGCTCAAGAAGCGTGCCAGTTTAGAGGTATTTCCAGAATGAGTGCTGTGGAACTTTCAGGTAGGAAAACATTTCATAGAAAGGAATCAGGGTAAAACGAAAGGGAGACTTCATTCCTGCCTTACCTCCAAGACCAGCGCTGTGTTTATTCAATGTCCTTCGGAGTTAGCAAAAGTTCATTCCACAGCCTCCATCATTTCCAGCTACCAGTTGGTCTGGTAGTGAGAGAGAGGATTCAGCTCTTGCTTTGGTGAGGGGAGAAAGGATGTAGGAATTGCCTCATTGTCCTTAAATTAAGAACAAATTAGCAGAGGCCCCGGTGGATGTGTTTCCTTCCTGCTGATTTACAGAAGGAAGTGACGGAGAGATCTGCAGAATGCGAAGAGTATTGCCTATCCCCTCCCCTGCAAGAGGACACTTCCTCCCTCCCCCTCTCCTGCCTGTTTGTTTTGTACCTAAGATGCAGGCCACTAAAATGTTCTTTCTTGGATCTGAGTGGGGGTGGAGGGTCCCCCATAGACAAGCTTACGTATTCACTGGACCACCCTAACTCATTGGTGGTGTAATTAAGAATGCAACTCAAGACCTCCTCTACCCAGTTTTCCATCACTGTTCCTTTTGACGAAGTTTTTCCAGGTAACACCATTATTTATTCAGTGCGTATACCAACCAGTGGAAACAGCAATATACTAACACTGCTGCGATCCTTTTCAGTTTGGGGGGGGGGGGGGGATCAATCTACTTGTGTACTGTTGAACCCGAATAATCAATATTAGCAGGGCTAGAATGGAAGTGAGTCCTTCAGCAAGTCTAAGATCACAGAATAAAATAGACCCAAGGGAAACTTCTGGCCCTACCTGGTGTGGCTCAGTGGATAGAGCGTTGGCCTGGAGACCGGAGGGTCCCCGATTGATTCTGGTTTAGGGTACATGCCCGGGTTGTATGCTTGATCCCTAGTGGGAGGCGTGCAGGAGGCAGCTGATCAATGGTTCTCTCTCATCAGTGATGTTTCTATCTCTCCCTCGTCCTTTTCTGAAATCAATAAAAATATACTTGAAAATACAAACAAAAAAAAAACACAAGAGTTCTAAAAATAAGCAGAAATGCTCAGTAAAATTACAAATTTAAAAAAAAAGAAAGGAAAAAGAAACTTTTGTGCAGGTTAAATTTATGTAAGATCTGACAAGCCTTAGGCAAGTGTGATAGATGAGAGCCCCCCCCCCCCCACACACACACACCTGTTGATAACAGTGCTCTGGGAGCTGCTGTTATCTAAATGGTTTTTGTCACTATCATGTGAGCTCATGTAGGGAAGAGTGAGACTTAGGAAGGCCATGACCAGTCACCCCATGTCTGTTAGACTGTGAAGCCTTTGCTGCTGTCAGCTGTGTTAGGCCACTGGGTAGGTTGACTGGTGATGAGAGAATCCCTAGGACACAGGAGTATAACAGTTTGTAGCCAGCACTCTGGGGTAAGGATCTAATAAGGAGAAACACTGTGAAAAATAATATAAACAAAACCACTTCAGAGTAGAGTCAGTCAGGGCTGTCATCCCAGAGGAACTGCCTTGCTGTCTTATCCCTCAAATCTGTGGACGGTTAAAACTGGGTAAAATAACCTTGGACTTGGCCTACAGCAGCACTGCATTCCAAACAGCTGTTGTTGCTTTTTCTTTATGACTTAGTTAAAACCTTTTATTTTTTTTATTTTTTTTTAAATATATTTTATTGATTTTTTACAGAGAGGAAGGGAGAGAGACAGAGAGTTAGAAACATCGATGAGAGAGAAACATCGATCAGCTGCCTCCTGCACATCCCCCACTGGAGATGTGCCCGCAACCCAGGTACATGCCCCCGACCGGAATCGAACCCAGGACCCTTCAGTCCGCAGGCCGACGCTCCATCCACTGAGCCAAACCGGTTCCGGCTAAAACCTTTTATTTTTATGTTTTCCTTTTTAAACTTTATTGAAATACAATTCACCTACATTAAATTGAATCCAATTAATTTTAGTATATTCACAAAATTGTGCAAACATCACAGTAGAATTTTAGAATATTTTCATTATCCCCCCAAAAAACCCCATACCCATTAGCAGTCACTCTTCATTTCTCCCACCTGCCTCTAGACACCCCCTAATCTACTTTCTGTCTCCATAGTTTTGACTGTTCTAGACACTCCATAGAAATGGAATCATACCATATGTGGTCTTTTGTGACTGGCTTCTCTGAAGTAAGAGGTTTTCAAAGTTCATCCCTGTTATAGCAAATGACTATAGGGCTGAAGGCTAAAGACATTCTTTAGAACTTATCTGCCCCTGGAATAATTCCTTCCTTGTATTCATGTAATTGCAGCTCAGGGGTGGCGAAGCTTGGGGATTTTAAGGTGGCATTCAGGCTGCACTGTGGAGAATGAATGAGAGGAGGCAATTGCCATAGAAAAGGGGAGGAAAGGTCACACAGATGGAGCCTAGCAAGCAAAGGACAAAGCCCTGAAGGCACTTCTCCCAAGAGCAGCCTCCCTCAAAAGAAGTGTTAGTTGGATTTGAGTTCTCAGCCATGCTGTAGCTTTATCCCCCCCACCAGTGACCCAGCCACACCCGACACACCTCCTCGGAGAAGGCACCCAATAAAACAAGTTGTGTTAAATGGCAGTTAGTGACTTTCACCGCATTTCTGTCCAGGGCAGTGGGGAGTGATCCAGAATTGAAGTTTCTACCCTAGAGGCATGGGAGCGGACCCTGCAGGTGTGCTAGATGTGTAGCTTTAAGAATGTCCACACCCTACCGGGTTTGGCTCAGTGGATAGAGCATCGGCCTGGAGACTGAAGGGTCCTGGGTTTAATTCCGGTCAAGGGCACATGCTCAGGTTGTGGGCTCCATCCCCAGTAGGGGGTGTGCAGGAGGCAGCAGATCAATGATTCTCATCATTAATGTTTCTATCTCTCTCCCTCTCCCTTACTCTCTGAAATCAATAAAAATATATTTTTAACAAAGAATGTACACTATAGGAGCAACAAGGGCAGAAGTGTGTGATTATGCAATCTAGAACTCTACCTGTGCGCCACTCCCCCCCCCGCCCAAGCTGTGCCCCAGGTTCATGGCAGCAGCAGATAGCTGAGTGAGTTTGCTGGGAAATCGGTTTCTCTACACCTCCCTATGCCAGGAAACTCCCAGACTTTACCCACTGCTGGGGTTTTGTGCAGACTTTAGGAGGTGAGAGGTAGCAGAATGGAAAGTGATGGCCCAGGTTGGAGTCCTGTTTGCCAGGCGCATGACCTTGGAGCTGTCTCTTCTCTGCAGTATAGATGCCTCGAATTATTCACCTACCGTGTAAGAGCCAGATGGTGGTTTTAATATGGGAGCAAAACCTTGTGATGGGGGCAGCCTCTTACTAAATCCTACCAATCCTGGTTTTCATGTTCTCAGATAAGAATACAAAAGCGCAGAGATATGAATCTTGGTGGATTCAAATCTGCCTGACTCCAGGGCTGCTTTCCCCCTGGGTCACGCTGCCCCAGGGCCCCAGCCTGTGGGTTCATCCAGACACCAGCCAGTCTGCGGACTAGCGCCCGGTGTGTCTTCTGGATGCAGTGATCAACTTGTCCTGGTTTGCTCGGGACTATCCTAGTTTTAGCACTAAAAGCCCCGTATCCTAGGCCCGTGGTCGGCAAACTGCGGCTCGCGAGCCACATGAGGCTCTTTGGCTCCTTGAGTGTGGCTCTTCCACAAAATACCACGTGTGGGCGCGCGTACAGTGCGATTGAAACTTCGTGGCCCATGCTCAGAAGTCGGTTTTCGGCCTGGGTGGGTCTATTTTGAAGAAGTCCTGTTGATATTTGGCTCTTTGACTAATGAGTTTGCCGACCACTGTCCTAGGCCAATTGGGACAGCTGGCTGCCCACCTGGTGCCTCCCTATCTTTGTCATTGCCTTCCCTAAACCAAGAGCTTCATGGACAGGGAGCTGGGGACATTGGGGCGGGAGGGGGGAAGGAGATGGCACTTCCAGGCGAGGATATACACAGAGCAGCTGCTGCATAAACTGGGCCAGGCAATAAAGAGGCCATAACTGTTGGAACCTGCTTTGGAATGTTTTCCCTCCTTTTTATTGTCCTCTTTACAGGAGGCGAGGTCAGGGCCTAGCTCCCTCTGAGCGAAAGCATTTCATCCCTGGGCTGATTACTCCTAGGACTTCAGATTCAGGAAAGGAGCCCAGAGGCTGCGGAGTGGCATCCTTTTCCTTGGCATCTGTATTTCCCTTGCTTTCCCCCTCCGATCACCGGAGCAGGCTGTCTCAAGAAGGCTGGGCTAGACTGCCCTGTGGGTAGGGGAGACCAGGAGATGCCAGGAAAAGGGGTCTGAGGCTGTCACCCCCCTCCTTCGCCCGCGGTGCCCCCCCCCCCCCCATGCATTAATCCTGTGGCTAAATTGTGAGGCAGCTTTTAATCTGTTCCTGGAAGAGGGCTCACCAGTGGGTAAACACCGGGCAGTCCTCCCGGAGGCGTGCTGCTTGAGGAGGCCCCTGCATCCTATGGTTGATGTTGAACCAGAGTTTGATTTGTGCTCGGGAGTCTGAGCGTGTAGCTGGGCTCCTGCGGAAGCCTCATGAAAGATGCATTTCGCCAGGCAGTTCCAGGGGAGCGACCGGTTTCATTTACAGCTCAACAAATCCAAATATTGGCATATCTATAAATCCAAATGTAGGGATTTCAAGGGGAAAAAAATCTAGATTCTAAGAATCTTATTTGGTATGTCTTGGGCAAGAAGGGGTGGCAGGATAGTCAGCGAGGAGACAAGAGCACTAATGATGAGAGAAGCTTCAGCAGAGCAAACCCAACCTCCCTTTCTTTCCTTGGGCGTTCCTGGTACTTCCATGTGAGGGAGGAGGACAGCGTTTGTTCAGCACAGCTTGCGGAAAGCAGGACAGATCAGCGGGATCACCCATTCAGTATCTGGGGCATAAGGTTCAACAAGTCTGGTGGGTCAGTTTCTGTCTGCTCTCCCCAAACCACTTATAGGCCTGAGGCCAGGGCATTCCCCTTGGAGCACTTCCCCACTATAGTCTATTCACAACACAGCACCCCCAGCAATCCTGTGAGACTGTGAGCCACACCAAGTCATTCCTCTGCTCATACCCTCCATGGCTCCCTAGCTCCCTTGGAGAAGGCCAAGGTCCCTAGAATAACCTTCAAGGCGCAGGCCTGCCTCCCCCATTACCTCTCTGACACCCTCTCACTCCCACCTCAAGACACACTGGCCCTTGCTGTTCCTCCCCCATGGTGGGCATGCTTCTCCCTCAGGGCCCTAACATTTGCTGTTCCCTCTGCCAGGAACACTGTTCCCCCAGGTACCTTCATGACGTGTTCTTTAAATCTTGGCTCCTTGGGGAGCCTTTCCTGACAACCCTATTTAAAATTCCAAGTGTCCTCCCATACATACACCATCCCCTTTCCTGCTCTATTTTTCCATCACTTACTGGACTCACAGCTCACTTTTAATATCTGATATCACTTATTACTTTATTTTTGTTTATAATACCTCCCAAATATAAATTCTATGAAGTCAGAGTTTAGATTATAAACTCTATGATCCTTGTTTTGTTCACTGATGTCTCCCTGCCTCCTGGAATGGTGCTTTGACAATTGGTAGGCTCAATAAACTGTAGTTAAATGAAGAAAATGGAATGGCTTTTTATGGGTCATTTCTATTCATCCCTACAATAGCTCTAATGGTATAGGACTGCTCTCAATTTACAGATGGGAAAATTAATTATAAAATGTGCTGAATACATGTGGTATGCCAAGCACAGTACTAGGCAGTTGCGTTTCAGAGGGTTAAGAAGGTGGGCCCGGGTACATAGCTAAGTTCACCAAGCAATGATAGCTCTGGGCTGTCCCACATAGGCCCTTGGCTATTGAGCACCCGAAATGTAGCTCATCTGAACTGAAATGTGTCATAAATATAAAATGCACACCAACTTCCAAGACTTAGCACAAAAAAGGAAACTATCTTATTCATTTTTTTTCATATAGATTGCATGTTGAAATTATAATGTTTTAGATCTATTGGGTTAAACAAAATACTTTATTAAAATTAATAGTGCCTGTTTCTTTTTACTTCTTAAAATGTGACTATTATAAAAATGTAAATTATGTGTGATTTGCACTGGACTCTTATAGCTATTTTCATTACACCTTGCATGTCTATTTCAAGTATATTACCTCTTGGACACTTGAGGTCAAGAGTGCAGTGACACCTCTAGCCAGTTTGCTCAGTGGATAGAGCGGGGGCCTGCAGACAAAGCATCCCGGATTCAAATCCAGTCAAGAGCACGTACCTTGGTTGCAGGCTCCTCCCTGGCCCAGGTCCTGGTCCAGGCTCATGCAGGAGGCAACCCATCGATGTGTTTCTTTTACATCGATGTTTCTCTCTGTTTTTCCCTCTATTCTACTCTTTCTAAAAATCAGTCAAAAAATATCCTCAGGTGAAGGTTAACAAGAACAACAACAACAACAACAACAACAACAAACCCACAAAAAAACAAGAGTGCGGTGACTGTATCTTTCCTAAGGATAAGAGCAAAGATTGCAGAATACGTCAGCAAGTCCCAAAGGTAGTAACGTACTTGTTACCTGCTGAATGACTGAATGTTTGTGTCTCCCCCCAGATTTATATGTTGACGCTCTAACCCCAAATGTGACCGGATTGGAGGCAGGGCCTTTGGGATACAGGTTGAGATGAGGTCCTGAGGGTGCAGTCCCCGTGACGGGATTAGTGCCCTATAAGCAGAGGAAGAGATGCCAGAGTTTCCTTTCTCTGCCCTGTGAGGACACAATGAGGAGGTGCCATCTACAAGCCCGGAAGAAGGGCCTCACCAGAACCCGACCATGCTGGCACCCCGGTCCTGGACTGGTAGCTTCCAGAACTGTGAGGTAATAAATGTATGTTGTTTAAGTGCCCCCTCACCCCCACCCCATCTGTGGTATTTTGTTATGGCAGCCTGAGTTGACCAAGACAATGCCTAAAGACTGAATGTCTCTCTCCATGAAAAGCAAATGGAGGGTTGAAGTGACCCCCAAGATGATGCGTCTTTAGAACCTTCTAGTAAAGAAGATAGCCCCTACACCAGCTTGAGAGTGGTGACTGTGAAGAAGGAGTTTCCACTATAATGGAGGCGGATGAGGCTGACTGTCACAGAGCCAGGACACCTACCATTCATATTATCGAGCATGTTCTTCCTTCTACTCCCCGCCAACTGAGCAACCTCTGAGAGGCATTTTGCCGCCCATATAGACATGCTTATAAAGAATACAAATACTAGTAGACCTGAAAGTTACACTTGTTTTTGCTAATCAGTAAGCTGGAGAGCTGGTTTTATTCATCTCATCTGACTCTGGGGACTGGGTCTGTCCACTTTCAAAAGGTTGACAGAATTGGATTTTTGAAACTTACAGTTTAAGGACCACACCTCAGATGACAGAGAATCCATAACGTTGGTAATAAACACAAATAAATAAGAGTGGCAGCTAACATTTGTTGCGTGCTTACTGTATCCAGCACCATTCTAAGAACTTTATGTGTATTCACTCATCTAATCCTCACCAATAACATAGGCATTATTATTATTCTCATTGTGCAGATGAGAAAGCAGAGAAATAGTCAATGGCCACACAGCTGGTGATTTGCAGAGCCGAAACTCAGATACGAGATCATGCCTGGTAGTGGGCACCTTCCCTGCCCAGACTGTAATTAGGATTCCGAGCTGGACTGCCTGGCACATGGAGCACCTACTTTCTACCATCTATCCTTCTCAATTGCTATGCAAAGGGACTAAAATCCAATCTTTGCCCCGTGGAAGCTCACAGCCCATCGCACCAACTAGCATCTACTGAGCAACTAAGTACATGGTCAGTAAGCATTTTTGAAGTAATGGATTAATGAGTGTCTAGAATTAGGCCTTTGTCTTAAGAGTCCTAAGATCAGTTGAGGATGCAGACAAGGGATATTTAAAGACTGAGCCAAAAGTGTAAGTATCTAAACTGTGTTCACCAAGCTCTTGCAAATTGGAGGGGCTATAACTGCTCTGTACATAGCTATTCTAGGAGAGGGAAAAGTATTTTTGCTCTACCTATTTGAAATTCATTGGCTGGGGGCCTCAAATTAAACTGACAACAGACAGATTAACATGAGAAAAGCAAATGGAAGTTGATTAACATGTGCATTGCATATAGACCCAGGAACACTCTGATGAGTAGATCCAAGGAGTGGTTAAAACTTGGGCTTATCTGGCATCTTGGGTTTACTAATACATGACATTTTAGTGAAGTACAATACTTTTGTAGAGAAGTGACAAGACAAAAGAAAAGGACTTTGAGCTTCTAGTGGTGGCAAATTATGAGAAGGCACGTATGAGGGGAAAGGAAGGGCAGATAAGGGCTAGTTAGTAAGGTTTGCTGAGGACCATCTTGCCTCTAATGATAAGGTTGTTTTCCCCTTCCTAGTTTAGGAAGTGGAGAAGGGAGAATCATAACAAAGGGAGTTCATGTTCTGTTTTCAGGTAGATAGGGGAGGGTGGAGAGCTTTCTTATCTCTGCTTCTTAATTGCCTTCAACTCAAAATAATCCTTGTGCCAAAGGGCATATTTTGGGTTAGCAGATTATGCTACTCTTTGCTATAAACCAGCAAAAAGTGCGGTGTTGTCTCTGAGATAGAAGGATTTACTCTGTGCTAGGTACTGTGCTAGCTACTTGTAATTATTACCTGGTTGACCTCCTCATAACCTCTCAGGCAGGTTCTATTATTATTCCAATACCCATTTTCATACCCAGGAAGAGTGAAATGTCAAGAGTGACTTGTCCCCAACAGGCAAGTCAACAAGCGATTATGGACTTGAGCAGATCTGAATCTAAACTCCACTGGACATGGCACCTTGGCTCCACTATTTGTCACATTGATGTCACAAACAACAGGAAGGAGCTTCTTGGTAGGCAAAACAGCAGCTATAATTGTTTCTTTTTCCTCTTCCTCCTCTAAGGGGACGCACTTTACCTAGAGCAGCTAGCCCAAAGCTTTCAGGCAGGTTTCTTAGAATTTAGCACACCCACACTGATTCCAGAAACAGATAGGTATGAAGAGAGGCCCACTGGGAAAAGGAACCTGAACTCTCTCTGCAAGGATAGCTAGTCCAGGGAGAGAGAAAGCAAACAGCCTGGGACCAGACTAATTTGAGGAATGAAGGCATACCATGGGAGGGGCTGAGTCATTGGATCTTCGGGGACATGCCAACTAAGATAAATACATTGGATTTCAGTGTGTTGGACAGAATCACTACAGCCCTGCAGGCTCTTAAACACAACGCCAACCTGCGCACGGAAGACATCTGCCCTTTTGGCAAGGTCAAAAAGATTTCCATTCCCACCAGGCAAATTTCCCTCAGAGTACAAATTCCAGCCCAAATTGTCAGAGACCAGATAAACTTTTACTAACACTGTCCTGGCCCTTCCCCTTCCATTGTCCACAGCCCCAGGGGCTCCTGCCTCCTGAGTCATTATCTAAATGGCTGATGGGCAGAAACTAACAGCCATGCACTGGGAATGCAAGGTCGCCATTAACTGGGTTTCTGTGTAACTGAAGGTGGGGTAAAACCGGCCTTGTTTCATCCCTTGCTATTGAAAATCTCTCTAAACTGTTAGTTCACTCACCTGCCTAAGTTTCTGGAGCAGAATGAAAATAATTACATTTTTGCTGGATGATCAGACATCTTGCAGTGCCTTGGGGCACTGTTCTGCTTAGCGGCTTAAATTAAAATTTCACTGTGGTTGTAGACTTTTGTAAGAAATTGGGCTCCAACTGTTCTAAGTTGAAGAAGAAAATAATTTAATTTGCTTTTGTTGAGAGATGCACAGTATTTTGCCTTCCCGGTGCCTAGCAGAGTGTCAGGAATACTTCCTTGAAAATTTTCTCTCCAATGCTGACAGACAGAGTCTATGAATGCCTGACATGGATTTAGTTTTTACAGCTATTTTTCCTAATAATAATTGTATCTGCTCTTTATTGATCAATCAGTGATTGTTCCAGGCTTTGTGCTAAGCCCTTTGCATGATTTACATCAATCATTTCATCCCTTTTTGCCACGCAGTGGGTGGTCTTCATTCTAAAGAGGAAACTGAGCCCTGACTGGTGTGCTAAGTGGTTAGCGCATCAGCTCCCTGCACCAAAGGGTGTCAGGTTCAACTCCCCATCAAGGGCACATACCTGGTTTGCAGGTTAGATCCCTGGCCCTGGTCAGGGGCATAGCATGTGCAAGAGGCAACCAATCTTGTGCTCTCCTCCCCACCCTCCCCTGCTTTGCCCTTTCCTCCCTCCCTTCCACTCTCTCTAAATCAATGGGAAAAAATATTACTGGGTGAGGATTAACAAAAACAACAAAAAATGAGGAAAGGGAGCCTCAGCGAGGCTGAGTGACTAGGAAGAGGTTCTGAAAATAGGAAGGACAGAGCGGAGTGAACATTACTTGAGGGGTTTCAGGGAGGGCAGTCTCCATCTGCATGTGGGGCCAGGTATGCAGGAACACCCCAAAACCATAGGAAATGGAACCTCCAGGAAATGGGAATGGAGGTGGGACACACACACACACACACACACACCAGGGTCCAGACTCTCCATCTATGAGGGAGCCAGTACAGTGTAGAAGTTTGGAGAAGTGATTTTCAAATGATCTCTGGGGAAGGACCAGGCAGTTTGCTTTGTTTATAATTTCCAACTTTTGGTGAACTGCAACCTTGGTAAATAGCATAGGTATAAATCACTGGAAGAATGAAATAAAAATTGTTAACATAAAAACATCCAAACCTGTAAAGAATTTCTGTGAGTTTATTTGAGCCAGACTGTCGACAATCGCTGAGAAGCAGAATCTCAATGGGTTGGGATAATGCTCCAGAGAATGTCAGTGTTTCACCTATTTCTATACATTACAATCAAAGGAGGAGACGTGGGTGGGTTACATGAAATCCCTTGGTGCTAGATTGGAGAGGCGGGAGAAAGCAAGGTGGGGGGGTGGGGGGGCGGGGGGGAGGGAACTTCTGGGACTGGATAAAAAGTAAAATGATAGACACATACTTCTTTTACTTAGGTGGGTACGAGATAGTTAACAGTCAACAATGAACATGATAACAATAACAATGAAAGAATTTGTGTCTCTGTCCTGGCACCCTGGGCATTTGGTTGTGCCCTGAAGGATCTGGAAAAAAGGGAAGTTACAAGTTAGCCTGACATTTCAAGGGTATGTTATCATAGATGCAAAAAAACAATAAGCTCAGTTAAGGTAAAGATTGACCTTGTCAGGGAAGATACTGGCCCAGGACATGACTACCCATCATAACTGCTTTTAGTTAAAGTTTTAATTTCAGACCATCCTTGTGGTTGCTTTAAGGTCTTAGAGTTTGGAAGACTGCCATGCAGGCCTTCCCTGAGCTTGTCAGGTTAACATGTGGCCCCTTTCATCCACAAAATAATAAAATGATGGATAAGCCCCGGTTTTTACTATTGTGATTGGATTTGGCAGACACAAACTAATTATCAAACAGTTATACACTTTCTAGTGGCTCTCTCCCAGTTTGTTCTCCTTTCCCTGTGGACGGGTAACAAACCCTCAGAGGTGCTCGCATTGCTTTTTGTGGGGCTGGGTCAGACTGACCCTTGCTTCTACAAGTGCAGCCTTGGAACTGGCAGAGTGGGCCTCCCCTGGGAGCTGGGCTTGACTCAGGAAATCTCAGGTCCATCTCCCACCTGTGGAATTGGAATCTGCATTCTCACCAGGTCACCGGGGGATTCCTGTGTGCGTTAGTGCTTAGTAAACACTGATTTCGAATATAGGTTCTGAAGTCTGACCACCTCTTTTATTTATTTACTAGAGGCCTGGTGCTCAAAATTCAGGCACTCAGGGTGGGGGTTGTCCCTCAGCCCAGCCTGGGCCCTCTCGCAGTCTGGAAGCCCTCAGGGGATGTCCAACTGATGGTGGGAGAGGCTCCCGCCACCACTGCTGTGCTCGCCAGCTGTGAGCCTGGCTTCTGGCTGAGTGGTGCTCCCTCTGTGGGAGCACACTGACCACCAGGGGGCAGCTCCTGCACTGAGCGTCTGCCCCCTGGTGGTCAGTGCGCAACATAGTGACGGGTTGTTCCACCGTTCGGTCGATTTGCATATTGGCCTTTTATTATATAGGATTTTTTTGCTTTTCTTTTTTTCTTATTTTAAATCTTTTTTGTTGAGAATATTACAGATGCCCTGCTTTCCTCCTCCCGCCCTCCAATTTCCCACCTCCATCTAGTTCCGCCCCATCCCAGGCCTTTACCACCCTATGGTCTGTGTCCATGGGTTATGCATATTTGCATATAAATTCTTTGGTTAATCTCTTCCCACTCCCCTTCCCTCTAAGATTTGTCAGTCTGTTCCATGTTTTCATGCCTCTGGTTCTATTTTATTCATCAGTTTATTTTGTTCATTAGATTCCTTGTTCATTTATTTTGATTTTTAGATTCAATTGTTGATAGATGTATATTTATTGCCATTTTATTGTTTATATTTTCTTCTTCTTCTTCTTCTTCTTCTTCTTCTTCTTCTTCTTCTTCTTCTTCTTCTCCTCCTCCTCCTCCTCCTCCTCCTCTTCTTCTTCTTCTTCTTCTCCTCCTCCTCCTCCTCCTCCTCCTCCTCCTCCTCCTCCTCCTCCTCCTCCTCCTTCTCCTCCTCCTCTTCCTTCTAAAATACCCTTCAACATTTCATGTCATACTGATTTGGTGGTGATGACCACCTCTTCTAATTAAGTACTATCTCATATCTGTGCCACACTGTGCAAATCACTTCACCTCTCAGTGCTTCAGTTCCCTAGTCTTAACAGTACAGCCCTCTCTGGGATATTGTGAGAACTTCAAGGTGGTAATACAGCTGGTGGGGTGAGGCCACAATGAGAGCAGTCAATGGAGCATAGCTGCAAGGGAGCCTAGCATTAAAAGGTAAGGGCCCCGTAGCCATTGTTGTTACTATTAATGATTTGTCTGTTTATTTGTTTCATTCCCTATCCCATCCTTGTCTTTGAAGCCTAGGCATCTAGGCCAAGAATATTTACTTTGATGGTTAAATTATGTTAGTTGTATGCAAGGTTTCCCCTTCCTCTACCTCAGTGGTTCTCAACCTTCCTAATGCTGCGACCCTTTAATACAGTTCCTCATGTTGTGGTGACCCCAACTATAAAATTATTTTCATTGCTACTTCATAACTGTAATTTTGCTACTGTTATGAATCATAATGTAAATATCTGATATGCAGGATGTATTTTCATTGTTACAAATTGAACATAATTAAAGCATAGTGATTAATCACAAAAACAATATTAATTATATATGTGTTTTCCGATGGTCTTAGGCGACCCCTGTGAAAGGGTCGTTTGATCCCCCATAGGGGTCGCGACCCACAGGTTGAGAACCGCTGCTCTACCTGATCTCAGTTACTTAAATGGCAACTGAGGCCATTTAAATCCCATTTGGAGCTATTCCTCACCCTACTCAGGATTATCTGTTTGCACTAACCATCCTGAACTTGGTGAGTCTAAGAGAGGCCCTGAAAGCTGAGTGCTGGCTTCCCAGGCTGCCCAGGACAGGTGTCACTGGGGCCTGGTGGATCTTTCTGTCCGATGGAGCCACTGCGATTCAGCTGGGAGAGAGGACAAGCAGGACACATAACCTGAAAGGTGAGGTTTCTGTGTTAGCAGTGACTCCGGCTTCTCTTTCTTTTCTTCTATTATCTCCACAGATGAAAGCCAGTGAGTCCTTTATTGGAACCGACGATTCCGTGAGCTTGATTCCAGGCAAAGGCTGCAAACGAAAGTGAACAGCCACCAAGTCAAGTATGTGGAAATTCACCCATAGATGCTGGCTGCTGGATTTATAACAAGGGTGGGATAATTTGTTCTTGTGTGCTAAGATAAGGGTAAACAAATTTCATGCTGTGATGTAAGTCCCTATCTGCACAAGTCAGGAAAGATTCCCTGTCCTGTTGCTGAATTGCATGCTTGACAAATTAGCCCCTGAGGCTTATTTCTTGGAGACTTTATCTAGAGGTCATGTCGCTACCCAGTGTTAAAAATGGAAGGACAAGGACATGCCTACGTGCAGAGGAGGGAACTGGTGTGTCCCTGTGGGTCTGGAAGCTTGGAACTGAAAGTGGCCATGGTACTGGCTCTAGTATTTGGAAAATTCTGGAGAGAACCTGGGATGGTGTTGAGTAACTGTGACCCCTGGGCATGATGGAGGAAATATGCCAGGAAATGTGTGTTTCCATTTCAGCCTGTGATTGGCCTTGGTCCAGACATCTCACCTACCCTGGACCTGCCTCTGCCATTATTATTGTCAACAGCAAGTGAGTAAGTGTTCTGTGTTCCCAGAGGTTGTTGTCATCGCTGCACGGAAGGGAGCCCCCACCGGGCACTGGGGGCTGTCTGTCACACCTTCCTCTGCTAGAGGACAAAGGCAGTAGTTGATCATCTTTGTGTCCCATGTGCTTAAGCTATATGGGCTAATATTGTTTATAGAAATAGGAAAGCAAGCCAGAGAGCTGAGGGTGAACCTCCTTAAGAAATACAGAAAAGCAACTTAAACTTGGGAAAATTATTATTATTCTGTAATATATACGCTATTTTCTGTTCTGCATATCTATAAAGGCCTTTATATAAATGCTAATATGCAAAGTGTCCCCTCCCCCTTGGGAGTTCAACCAGGAGAATGGGAGTTCGATCACTCGCTGTGACGTGCGCTGACCATCAGGGGGTGGTGAGAACATGGTGGGAGACCAGTAGTGGGGGATGGGAGCTGAGGGAGCAAGGGAAGGAGGAGGCAGGGAGGCAGGGAACCTGATTGGCCCTGATCACCGGCCAGGCCTAGGGACCCTACTTGTGCACAGATTTCATGTACCAGGCCTCTAGTATCATTTATAATTACAGTTATTCTATATGTAGTTATTATCACCCCACTTTCCAGATATTGAAACTAAGGCTTTAGAGCCAAGAAAACACAACTCTCATGGACAGAAGCCAGGGTTCACACCAATGACTGTATTAGACTAGCCAACTCCGCTTCGCCCAAGCGAATGCTAGAGAACAGGGTCCAGGCTATATTGTATCCATGTTTTTCTGGGGACTTCCTGAGCCTGAATCTGGGCCCCATTTTTCCCATCTGTACAACAGGGAAGAGTAGACTAAGATCCCACAGGCTGCCTGTCAGTGGGGGTCAGAAGTGCAGGAGTGCGGGAGGTGTGCAGCTAGGAAACTAGACTTTTAAGGCTTGAGCAATGTCAAGTGTGAGTCTCCAAAAAATTGGATGTTGCTACATAGACGTGGGCATGATAAGAGTGAACAGGGAACTAGTCTCTAGCACCAGGCCTTCCAGAGGCAGTTCAACTCAGGGCCTGGAAGTCCAACCTAGAACTGAGGATCAGGGCTCATACGATAAAGAACATTGATCTCTAAAGATGTGCACGGTCGTGCTGGTTGCTGAGTAAGGCAGACATACATGCACATGTGTGCACACATGGATACAGTCATCAAGAGAGTGTCTGTGTGTAGCCAGAGACACAAGATTATATTATATTATATTATTATATTATATTATATTCTAATATCCTCAGAATCCTTCACTTTGCTTTACCTAGAACATTACAGATTATTAAGGTCTTTTATTAGTTCATTTTCTTCTGTCCTGTGCTTCATATTCCTGGTGCCAACAATGTGTATAATATATGACATTTTGTGGAAAACAAAGAGTTTATATATATAATACATATACCTATATATCTATATCTGTTTATCTATCTATCCATCCATGCTTTTTTTTCCTCAATTTTTCCATGTATAGACTATTTCTGGAAGTTTACCCAAAAGCTGGTAAGCATGGTTGCCTCTGAATAGAGATCTAAGTGCCAGGGGTAGGAAAGAGCAGAGTGGAACTTTCCATAACATCCACTTTTATATTGTTTGCCTCTTTTAATCACAGATATGGGTTCCTTATTTGAAACAGTAAACTGAAGAGAAAAAAACAACAACTATGATGAAGTATATGTCTTGTACCTGGTTTCTGAATTGGTTCCTCTGAGTGAATGGTCATTTCTCACTGTGATGAATTCTTAGAGGACTCACGACATGGTTAAAGGTTGTTTATGATTCAGTAGGAAGAAGTTGACTAAGGAAGACCCTTGGGATAAGATGGGAATTTCCTAGGAGGGGGCAACCCTTCCATCCAGACAGGAAAGCAGGATCAAACACTGGAGAGTAATGGCCGTCAGCAATTCCAGTGCTTCAGGTAAGAAATAAGCCAGACTCTTCATCCTGACACCTGGCTGAAGTGGGAGTATCTAGGAGGATTGGGAGATTTGATGGGACTCAGGGAGCCTATTTTTTTATTTTTGAAAATAAGATGGTGGCATGTGCCAAACATTTGTTGCTGGACGGCCATGTGGCCACGGAACGGAGATGCAGACTTTGACAGGAGAACTTGCTGACTTGACTTGGTATCTGCACTGGGCCAGGCAGCGGGGAGGCATTTTGTGGATTTTGTCTCAGTTAACTCTTAAACAATTCTCACAGGTAGTGTCCCAATTTACCTCTGAAGAAATTAGACCCCAGGGAGTTAGGGGTTAGTCAATTGGTCCAAGAGGTTAGAGCTGATATGGAGAGTCACAATATAATACCGCGTTCTCTTCAATTCCAATCCCTAGGCCAGTGATGGCGAACCTATGACACGCGTGTCAGAGGTGACACGCGAACTCATTTTTTTGGTTGATTTTTCTTTGTTAAATGGTATTTAAATATATAAAATAAATATCAAAAATATGTCTTTGTTTTACTATGGTTGCAAATATCAAAAAATTTCTATATGTGACACGGCACCAGAGTTAAGTTAGGGTTTTTCAAAATGCTGACACGCCGAGCTCAAAAGGTTCGCCATCACTGCCCTAGGCCCTACCCAAGGCTGCCTGGAAGCCAAGGAGCTAGGGCTGAATTGATCCCCAGAAACTGGCAAGCAACCTAATGCAGAGGCTCTCAAACACTGGCTACTTCAGAACCAGCTGCAGGGCTTGTTAAAACATCTATTGCTAGCCACTCCCCCAGAGTAGGTTTGGGCTGGAGCCTGGGACTTTGCATTTCTAACAAGTTCTCAGGGGGTGCTGTAGCTTCTGGTCAGGGGATACCACTTGAGAACACACAATAGCGATTAAATCATCTTGTCACTCACTTCCCCCGGAGATCACGCTGGGAAAACAGAAACATGAAAAAGGAGACCTGAATCCTAATCAGCATATCGGTCACATCACTGAGCGTCTAGTTTTTCCTCCAATCCTGTTGAGAATTGAAGAGCATGCTAATAATGCTGTTCCACGTTGTGATCTGTGAATACATGGGCTTTCTGGCGAATGGACATTGTTGGGATCCCTCTGCTGTGCGCCCGGGGCCTCTGATGGAGGCATTCCAGCTGAGTGTCCTTGAAGGTCCCCAGCATGAGTAGAGTGGAAGGGTCCTCTCTTGCCTTTTTAATTGGAGTGGGGGAGAGCAAAGAGAGGCAGCCTGAGAGTGTAGGAATGCAGGCCTTTGGGGAATGAGATTCCATTTGCACAAAGAGCAGAGATTCCTGAAAGGCTTTGAGGCTGGCGCTGCTGGGTAGCCATGGCGATGCCATGCGTCCTGCCTCCCTGCTGCTGGAGAGAGTGCCTTTGCTTCTACTTCCCAGGAGCCTTAGCAGGTGCAGCTGCAGCTTATTTGAGAGATTCTCCTGCACACAGCGACTACTCAGAAGCACTCCATTAATTGGTGCAACCTGCTCCTGACTGTCTTGCTGCCCTGAGGCGGTTCACGGGCACCCCTCCTGCCGCCCAGAAATCATCTGCCAGTAATTCTGGTGTCAACACTTTTCGTTAACAGCTTTTGGTTTGCCTTCCAGGGATTGTTTGGTGCTTTCCTGGATTCTTTGTTGGCAATTCGGGTGTGTTTATCAGCAGGATTGCTGAGGAGTCTTGACTGTGAAGTTGGAATATGAAAACAGCCTGGCTCCCCATATATCTAGCTCAAATTCATACTCCTTCCTCCCCACACTCCTAGGTGGATTCCCATACCCATTGGTTCCGGGTGAGAATTTATGGGAGATGGTGGGGCCCAAGCTGGGATTTCTCAGTCAATGTAATAGAAGAGCCAAAATGAGAAGGATAATGTTTGAATAAGCAACGTGTGCTTAGGTCCACGTGAAGCCACAAGGAGACTATATGTCTCCCCAAAGCTGTTTCAAGGTGGGGCTACAGAGCCAGGAGCCAGTTTGAACTCTTCAGCGTGCACTTGTGGTGCTGGGGATGAGGGTGGAGCACTTGACCTGAGCTCGTGGGATGACTAGAATTGACTTGGATGTGACCAGCTCAACTAGCAGACTCTTCTGTCCTCTCATCCTCTTTATAAGGCATCTCCATGATGGAAGCACAGCTCTTTTTTCTTTTTCTTTTTTTAATATATCTTATTGATTTTTTACAGAGAGGAAGGGAGAGGGATAGAGAGTTAGAAACATCTATGAGAGAGAAACATCGACCAGCTGCCTCCTGCACACTCCCTACTGGGGATGTGCCCGCAACCAAGGTACATGCCCTTGATAGGAATTGAACCTGGGACCTTTCAGTCCGCAGGCCGACGCTCTATCCACTGAACCAAACCGGTTAGGGCATCTTTTTTATTTTTTTAAAATATATTTTTATTGATTTCAGAGAGGAAGGGAGAGGAGAGAGACAAACAGAAACATCAATGATGAGAGAGAATCATCGATCAGCTGTCTCCTGCACGCCCCACACTGGGGATTGAGCCCACAACCTGGGCATGGGCCCAGACCAGAAGTGAATCATGACTTCCTGGTTCATGGGTTGGTGCTCAACCACTGAGCCTTGCCGCCCAGCTCTTTTTGGAATGATTGGCCACATGGTGGGTGTGATCCTGTGACTCCATCCTAAGGAGCTGGCCACATACCTCCCAGACATGCAGGAGGGCAATGGATAATGAGGCTTTATTTCCTGCTTGCTACATCCTCCTGCCCCATTTTCTGACAAAGCATGTTTATTTTTAGTAGTCATGGTGTTCCAAACATGGGAGGTATAAATTAAATGAAATATGGTGTCTGCCTTCATGGATGAGGCTGATGAGAAAATCTAATCACATAATACATTTCGATGGCAGCCCCTGCAGGGTGTTCTGGGGACATCCGTGTGTCTGTTCATCCTGTAATATGTATTGAGTGCCTGCTGTGTGCCAGGCATTGTGCTGGGCCAGGGACCCAGAGATCAAAGAGGCATGATCAGCCTGCAAGGACCTCACTTCCTAGTACAGGGCATGACCAGAAAACGCAGTTCAGTGTAGTGGAGACAAGAGGTAACAGAACTGCTTGGAAGAAGGCACTGTGGAGAGCCCTTGCCTCAAATCCTTTTTGCTTTAGGCTGAAAAAGCAGACTTCTTTCTAATTTATAGAAAATCATTTATGAAATATATTTGAGTTAAAGAGTTATCTTCAATTAATCTGAGGCCTGAGATAATAAATCCCTCCCTCTGCAGAGGGAAGCTCAGTGTTGCGGCATTAAATAAAGATCACTCGGCTTCGGAGGGAGGTGCAAGACAGACACCAGCATGCAGAGAGCAGCCCTGCTCGGATGCGAGCAGTGTCTCAGTTAGTTCCCACTGTTCATCCTCCTGGGGTCTAGTGAATGAATTAGGTGTCTGGGGTAAAAATAGCCCTGATTTTCCTTTTGGAGTAAAGAATCAATCATTGTCTGTCCTGGTCTCTTCAGCTGCTTTAAATAAGGCTCTGTCCCATTGGGAGCCTCTCTCGGTTAAGCCAGGAGATTAGAAAAAGGCTGAAGGGGCCCTGGGATGTGATTCCCAAGCAGGGTTTGAACGTGGGTGAGATCTGACAGCCCCTCACAGCCTGTCTGCACTATCAGATGTTCCTGCTTCAATATCATAGGGTGATTCCAGGATGAGGGGCAGCATGCTCAACGAGGATGTCCATCTCTCACCCCACTTTCATTTGCATAAATTCTCTGCCTGATAAGGTGATTGTCAGGTGTACATATGCCCTTCCCTGTGCATTTCTTCTCTCTGCATCTTGCCATGTTCTCACTGCTGCATCGCCCAGGACTCCCAGCTTGCCTGCACTGTCCGGAATGGTGTATTGCTGTTACGATAGAGCAGTTCAGAACATGGGCTCTGGGTTTAGCCACATCTGGTTTTGAAATCCAGTTTTGCCACTAGATGCTGTGAGGCCTTAGACAAGTGGCCTTACATCTCTAAGACTCATTTGTAAAATGGGTATAATAATAATAGTGCCTATGTATAAGGATCCCAATAGAACATAGGTGTTACACTCAGGTTAGGATCATTCAAACAAGGCTGTTTTAAAAAAGGAGAAATTATAAATGTGTGGAAGAGGCTTAGGAAACCACTCAAGATCAGAGGGAACCCAGGTTAGTAGCACAGAGCTGTGACTACTCCTAAAACAGCAGGAAAGAGGGGAGAGGCAAGAGACAGGAATAAAAAAGGGGGAAGAGGTGCTGAGAAAAGGCCTTTGAGAAAAGCCATGACCTTGTTCTACCAGAAAGGACAGTACAGGGAGAGAATCTGACCTCACTTTCCTACCTTTCTCCCATATCCTGCTCTCCTAGGGCTGCTGGTTGGCCAAACCCAACGAGAAGCTGAGGGTGTAAGAGCAGGTGATATAATCGGTACAGCCCAGCCTCCCAGGACAGAGAGCAAAGTGGAAGAGGTTGGGGAGGGCTGGGAGGGTGAATAAAATGTATCCAGCACAAACAAATGCACAGTGAGGCTGAGCTGATTAACTAATGAAATACCAGTAAGGGCTGAGCACAGTTCCTGGCACCAAGCATTTCATGGAAGTTAACTATGACTGTTAGTATTCACCTTTTCTAGAACAAATGTCAAAAGAGTTGCTAGTGTTTTAGAGCCAAGTGCATGAAGTAGGGCCTAACTGGAAGAGCTGAGGGTGGTTGATACATGTGGTCCCCATCCCATCCCAGGTAATAATGAGTTTGTGCTCCCTGTGGTATAAAGAGAAAATTAAATTTTGTTTCTCCTTTTCCGAAGACTGCTCAAATCCTTCTTCCAACCCATCCTGCTTCCTGCATCCTTGTCATCTTCTGTTTGCCATTTCTGGTAGCATGCTCACATGCTATTATGAAGAAAATGTGATTTAAGTGACTAATCACTAAAGGAATGCTTCTAGAAAGAATAAGCATTCTTTGGGTTATTGGAGGGGCAGGAAATAGGGACTCAAATTACCAAGATGCAGTACGTATGGGATTGTAGAGTGTATGACGATGATATGAGCTCTCACCATCAAAGAGGCTCTTTCAGGAATAGGTCAGGCCCTAGTCTTGCTATTAATGGACCTTCCACATGGTCATCTTTCCCCCTTAACTTTCTGTGTGAGCATAAACAAGTCAATTACCTACATTTCTGTAAATTCTCTGTCTTACTTCTAAGGAGTGGACTATAGATGAACAAAAATACAGGAGATGTGTGAATCTTTTTGCATGAAGAAGGCAGCCTGTCCTGCTCCGGCCTGTATTTTCTGGGTGGGGTGGCTCTCTGGCTTGAAATGAGAAAGAGCTTGGAAGATCAGGATGGGAGAATGAGAGATCCTTCTGGTAGATAAAC